ATGGAAACATCTTTAAAAAACAAAAAATTATCAGTTAATTTTTAATAACCTGCTGGAACCTGCTGGTACTCCTATTCTGATATCTCATTTCTGGTAGCATAAGAATAATAAATAAGTATTACACTGAGAAAATCATATAAAATGATTAATACTGGATTTGGGCTGCTTGTTTTTCTCACATATTACCCAGTCATACATGCTAAAATCCTCAAATATCTAAATTCTAATTTCACTTTGGTATAAGTCTCCTTGGCAGTGTTCTATGCCATATTAAAACAACAAAGTTTTAAATAGTTTTCATGACTTTTTTGTTGTATAAGGAAGCAATACTATACTGTGATTTAATAGAGTGATACTTTAAGACAAGTTCTGATAAACTTCTATTAAGGCAAAATAATGTGGAGTCCCAGTTTTCTTGAACTCTGGTTCTTAGAGCTTCCCAGGTCAGCCATGGTACAAAGCAGTTATCAATAGTAGGTAAGTGAACAAGCATTTCTCTTTTCCAATGCTGTGGATGAACTTATTTACAGAAAGGAGAGACCAGCACTGTAATTTGCTTACCCCTGCATTAAATGTATTTCAGTATAAAGGATTCTCTGGTACTGATTGGTTTTGCTCCATTTAAAATGGTTTTCCTTATGATAGATTAATTTTTATCCTCTTCATTTTAATAATCTCCTTGACTTACCTTCTATACCCAATTTTTAAATTGTAAAATAAACATATAATAATAAAAAAAAAACATAGTTGATCATTTTCGCCAGTTTTAGGTATACAGGTCAGTAACATTTTTTTTTAATTAAGAATGTATTTGTAAATACTAAGTGAGTAAAATTATGTTTTTATTAGAGTTTATGACATTTTTAGCAGCACATTAGTAATTGGAATTGGAAAATGACTTCAAAGTTGATTTAATTCTTTGTTTTGTATATATTTCAAAAAATATCTCAGAAGAGTAAATTAGCTAACCAAGTTTATAGTACACCCCCCCCCCCCAAATGCTATGGACAGTTTTGTGAAGCATTTTATTGAATTTGTTGGTCTTTTTTAGGTTTAGATTTGGGAGAGACCTTAAAATTCCATCTCTCCAACTGCTGTCCCCCCCTTCTGTTACGTTCTGTAAAGGTTGTTTGTTACCTCTATTTAAATACTTGGACAAGAGTTCATGCCTGAAAAGGGCCACTCATTATATTTTCAGAGCGATTTAATTTTCCCTTACTTCTCCCTATAAATTAGTTTTGAATAAGTCATCTACAGTGGTACCAAAGTACCACCAAAGTAGTATTTGTTTAAAATCATCTCCTTGCTTTGTAAAAGATTCTTAGTTTGGTTTCTGTTGCTGTAATAGACACATTTCTTAGTTCAGATTTCTATTGTAATAAAATACCACAACCAAAGGCAACTTGAGGGAAAAGGGTTTATTTTGCTTATACTTCCATACAGTTCATCATCAAGGGAAGTCAGGGTAGGAACTGATGAGAGGCCATAGAGGAGTGCTGCTATGGATTGCTCCTCATGGCTTACTCAGACTGCTTTCTTATAGCATCCAAGGCTACCTGCACTAAGGGCGTGACACCACCCACATTGGTCTAGGCCCTCCCACATCAGCCATTAATCAAGAAAATGTATAGTAGGTTTGTATAGTAGGGGGCATTTTCTCAATTGAGGTTTCTGACTCCCAGTGACTCTAGCTTATGTCAAGTTGGCATACAACTAGCCAGCAAAGCACCATAACCAGAAGTAAATTGGGTTTGTGTTATCTTACAGGTTAAGGCCAGAGCTTAGAGCAGAAACCACAGAGGAAGACTACTGGCTTTTCAGGATAGGCTGGCACCCCCTACTTCATCTAGCAATTAAAATGCGTCACAGATACAACTGCATGACCTGCTCATTAGTTGAGGGTCTTTCTTCCCAGGTGACTCTAGATTTGTGTCTGGTTGACAGCTGAAACCATGAGAAGGCAGGAGAAAAGTCGTCTAGCACATAGTTTGTAAAAATAGTGCTTAACTTTTAAATTCTAAAAGTAAAATACATGGTTATGACATCATAAAGGCAATAATTTAGAGAAGTATAAGGCAAGAAGGCTCTTTGGTATAATTTCTGCTTTCTTGAAAGTTTGAGTTCAAGCTATTTTCTGTGGTTTTTATTTTTATTTTGACAGAGGCTTGCTCTGTAGTCCTGGCTGGCCCTGAACTTAGAATCCTGCTTTCTCTGACCTGAGTGCAAGGATTACAGTTACGAGTTGCCATATCAATATTTACAGTTTAATGATCATGTACCTTAGTCGTGGTTTACATTTTTTTTCCTATGGACAAAATTAGTTTCTTCTCTTTTAAGCAAGTAAATATTTACTCACTTTTCTAGCTGTGGTAATAAAAGACCATTTTAATTTTTTTCACTATGTACCACAAGTGAAAGAAGTGTATATTTAGTGTATTTACATAGCTTTTAGACAAAGTAAATACCATTTACCGGTGTGATAAATATGTAGAAAGCTTATTCTGCAGTTTTTAAAGTAATAAACTGCTGTTATCTAAAGTTTTATCTGACAGATCATTTTTTGTAAATAATTGGTATGTTATTATTCACTGATCTTGACAGCTGGTTCAATTTTCTTTAAATATTGGGCCGTCAGTATTACTGAACTCTTGTTTAAGGCTATTAGATCAGGATAAAACTTAGAAAACATGCTTGTGCCTTGCTAAAGAAGCAAGTAGGAAATAAGTCAAAGGACCCAGTAGTGTAGTAGTATTTTGAACCCCACATTCAATGAAACAGACATTCAAAATTCATTTCTGCTGTTGTGCAACCTTAGGAAGGTTTTTAATCTCTTCTGAGTGCAATATCTTTCTCCCTCTGTGGTCAGAGATAATGTTACTCATTTTTGTCAGCAAGTAAATTTGTAACAGAAATTATGTGATATTTTTGTAATACTTATATTTCTGTTACCATTCATAAATTAGAACGGATTAAATAAGAATGTTTATAAAACAGCACAGTTATTATTAAAACATAGGTATGTTTTAAAAACAGCTCTCTAAGGTCAAAATTATGTCATGTCATTAGCATTTTATAAAGGTTAATTTTTAAAACATACTAGTATTTATAAATTGATGTACTTTTAGGTTTTTTTTTTTTTTTTGGAAGGTTGGGGTCTGTGAGGTGGCTCAGCTGATAAAAGCATTTGCCACCCAAGCTCAGAAACTGGAGTAGGATCTTTGGAAACCGCATTAAGGGAGAGAAAGAGAACTGACTCCTGGAAGTTGTTTTCAGACTTCCCTCATGCCCCATGCCTGCTTGCACTCATACACGGTATTAATAAAAAAATGTAAAAACCTTCAAGGTTGGTACAACAGTGTTTTGAAAACATGATTTTAGAAGAAATTTTTTATGTCTTATGTATGAATGTATATGCTTATAAGTCAGCTATTGTCTTTTAAAATGTGTGTTGGTGTATATCACAGTAATACTTTGGGAAGTAATTTTATTAGGAAATAATGAAATACTAGTAAACTTTTATTAAAGTTCAGAATTGTTAGGCGATCTTTAATCCAGGAATCATTTAGACATGTAGAAAAGGTCTTTTCAACACAGAAACAGTTATAAACAGACATGACCTTTTTTTTTAAACAAGTAATGTGGAAAATATACCCATAAAAGTTGCTATTTGTACTTACAACTAGTCTAGAATTGATGACATTAAAGAATTAGTATTCTATTACCTATTTTGGCTTTCTGGAGCATAATTATATATTTTTCCTACATGTGTATGTGTGTATTGATGAATCCTACTAGGTAGGCAGGGGGTTGGTCTGCCTTAGACCTGTGATTCTTTTCTAGTTTGAGACAGGTTCTCAATTGTAGCCTATACTGGCCTAGATTTCCATCTTTAGTCAGGCTATCTTTGAACTCAGGGAGATTCTCTTATCTGAGCCTCCCAGGGCTGAGGTTGCAGGTGCTAGTTATGCCTTGCTGAGACCTGCTATTCTTACCATTATATTTATGACAGTGATTGATCATTGGAATGAAGAAGTATGTTTTGAGTTTCTGAAAACTTTCCTCAAGAATACATTAAATTGGTGTATGATAGTGTACTTAAATGCTATTCAATAGATAGGAAAAATTGCTTTCTTACTCTTACATTTTTTTTTTTTTTTATATTAGCTTATTAAGAGTTTTAGTATTGCTGGTAAATTTTTTTCTAATCCTCTAACTTATGAAGTTTTTTTTTTTTTTTTTTTTTTTTTTTTAATGTAAGTGTGCATTGCTTTAGAAATAACTACAAGAGATGGAGAGATGACCTAGTGGTGGTTAAGAGGATTTGGTGTTATTCCAGAGGACCCAAGTTTGTTTCCCAGTATGCAAGTCAGGAAGCTTACAACCAATTTAACTCCAGTTTTATGATATCTGATGCCCTCTTCTGGCCTCTGCAGGTGCTTGCACACGTACAAGTGCTTGAAGAAAAAGAACAGCTAATTACTATCAATTGAGTGCTTATATTCTATCAGAGTCCATGCTTACAGTCTATCAGAATCAGCACAGCCATGGTTTTATTACTGTCGTATTCTTGGTAGCCAGGAAGTGTAACTGTGTAGATGCCTGTCAGGTAGATAAAGGGAATGTTGTGTGCATATATGTGGAATTCTACTGAGCTAAAAAAAACACAGTGAAATCATTTACAGGAAAATGTATATAACTGGAAAGCATTAAATTAAATAAGCCATACTTTAGGAGGAGATATATATTTCTTTCATAAACAGAACCTAGATTTAAAATTTTATATACGTGATAATAAAAATTATCTGGCATTGAAAATTATTAATGAATTTTTTTCTCCAGTGTGGTTTCTAATGGTACTGATTTGACAGGTGAATCAGTGTTTATTATGGCTATAGTATTTATGAATTTATCACCTCAGCTATATTTGGTACAGTGGTTATTTAATAATGGACAGAATAGTCACACAAGGTTAATTTTGTATTATTTTCCTTCTCTTTTAGTAAAATAAAACAGGGTCTGTTACCTAGCTTGGAAGATTTGCTGTTCTATACAATTGCAGAAGGGCAAGAAAAGATACCTGTTCACAAGTTTATTACAGTAAGTTTTTATGTTTTTTTTCTCAACTTTCAAAGAAGTAGTACTGAGTCAGTCGCATACTATTGCTCATATATAGTTTTAATGTTTATCTGACCTTTAAGTTCTGACAGTGTTTCTCTTGTCAGAGTTTTACCATGTTCACTTCAAGGTAATCAATGAAAGGAAAAAAAAAAAAAATGAGAAACTTGTCTAGAAAGTGGATAGGAGTAATATAAATACCACATGTTCAAGTCTTTTGTAGAAATTTTTATGTACAGGAATGAAACTTATAGTTGGAATAAGCATATGCATTATTTGTGCTGTATATTTACAAACTCTTATTTTTTTAAAAACAGGCACTCAAATCTACAGGATTGCGCACGTCCGATCCCAGGTTGAAAGAGTGTATGGATATGTTAAGATTAACTCTTCAGACAACGTCAGATGGTGTCATGCTAGACAAAGATCTTTTTAAAAAGTAAAAATTTCTGCCAAACCTTTAATGGTGATTTGCTATTCTGTATGCTGATTTTGCTTTTAAAACACAAGAAAGGGCATTTGTCAATATTTTTTTGAAAAACAGTGATGGCTTACATTAAAGTTCTATTATATACTGGATTTAAATCAGTTGTATGAAAGGTAGCCATATATGTTGTTTTGTACTTAGAAATTATATTCTGTTTGGGTGTTCTATTCTTAGTGATGTGCTGACCTTTTCTATTTGGTATGTAAATTAATTTCCATATGTTGATTTAGAAGGTGAACATGAGAGGACTTCAGACAGCTCTGTATATATATATTTGCATCAACTAATTTTCTTTTTCAAATGTATAAATGAATTAGTTTTAGGCTCTTGTCTTTTGTTTTGCAAAACGGTGAGAACTAAAGACAACTTTGAAGATTAAAACCTTTATTTGGTTGAGTGAGTATTTTGACATTGCTGAATTTGTATATCTGTTTCTTAGTCTTCTTTACTGTATTTGTAAGGCAGCATAAAGTTATAAACACCTGTAAGACATAGTGGGGTTTTTTTGTTTGTTTTGTTTTGTTTCCCCCTAGGCCACAAGGCTTAAGTTGAGGTAGATCCAAAGAATTTCAACATTTAATTTAAAAGTTCATTTTGTGTGTGTGTGTGTGTGTCTGTGTTTAATTACCTTTCCTTTCTGGTGGATTGGGTGATTTGTTCTAGATCTCTCCTGGGGGTATTCCAGCATCCCAAGGAGGGATAAGTATTTAAGTGAGGTTCTCTGAAGTTTCTGCCATGCCTGTGATACTTCTCCAGTTCTGCATTCTCATCAGCAGGCTCTTGGTTCTCATAATGCAGACAACATTAATGTGTAGCTATTATATTAAGCTTGCTTTGCAATTGGTATTAGGAATTTGAGTCTGTTGACTTGTTTCTTTTGTGAAGGGAATGAATTCACCTGCAGATTTATTTGTGCCTTTGGAGTAAGGATTTGTCTTATGAACTGTTCTGTACAAAGTACTCTTTCTTATGTCTTTGGTTGTGAGCCTAGCCTTTAACGGCTGAAGCCATCTCTCCAGCCCCAAAGTAGTCTTTCTTGATTATGGTGCTTTCGGGGAAGTTACTTTAGTTTATCTATGAGTATAGTTAAATGATGGTAGTTTGGAGTGTGAATAATAGGTATAGGGAACTGGCTTTGCAATTGTTAAGGGAAAGCACTGAATTGCATATTTAAACCTGCTTTAAAATGTGCTTTATTAACATTGTTTCATTATAAAATTAAAAGCAATTTAAATAATCTCTTAGTTATGAACCCAAAGAACCACAATTACAAAATTCTATTTGAATTAATATATAATAATTATTATAACTTTAAACATAAATTCAAGTTTTAAAAATCTGATTATAATATAGCTAGTCCCAAACATGACACGGAAACACAGTAGTCTGGGTAGTGAGTTATACTCAAAATTTTACTTTTCATTTCTAGAATGAGATAATTCAAAACCTCTGATTGTCAGCTGTTTTGGTCACTTAGAAAGGTATTACTGCAGGGAAATTGTTTCTCTGATTTCAAGTATACAATGTTACTTAGTTAGGGTGCCAAAACTAAACAGCCTTATCTCCTTGTTGTTGGAAAGAAGTTGTTAAAACATGGAATTCCTTTCTTCTGAGAGAAGACATTATAAAGAGATTATATATAGAGAGAAGAAAATATAAAGAAATTATAAAGAGCTAATTCAGGTTTAAGGGAAAATGTTGCTATTTTATCTAAAATATATCTACTTAGTTGTTATAGTAGAGAAACAAGTATTATATGTGACCTTTTTAACGTGGATAAATGAATTTTTAACATTTGAAGGTTGGAGGCTGCCTATATCTCTTTACAGAGTCAATGTTTTTATACTAATATAAGAGGAAGAAAATATTTGTGCTGTCAATTCCTTATTCACTCATTCATTTTTAGACCATAGATAAAAGAACTGTTTTCATAGTTTTTGGACTTGTTTTTAGAAATAGCAAATGATTTGCATTTTATAATTATTTGGTTTATTAAAAACTTATGTATTATTTATTAATGAAAAATTCTCTGAGGAAAAATTTTGTAATACATTAATGTGCATTGTATTTGTAAAGCCTACATGTCAAGAAAGTGATTGAACAAAGCACAGAGAAAGATTTTTACCTGCTGAAAGGCAAAAGTATATTTTCCTCAGAATTAATTTTAAACAACTTCTGTTTTATAGTACACTGATGACATCTATTTTAAAAGATTTTCCAAGGAAATCTTTACTATTTAAACACCCATCATTATATGTAGTTGGATTCTTTAGAAGACTGATTGTGTATCATGGTAACTTACCATTTAAGGGTATTTCCACATAGTTTTTTGCTGGTAACTTATGCGAGAACAAGCACCATACCCAAAATTCTTTGTACAATTTTGTTGACTATAAATCCTCTTTAAAGGTGCTGAATAGTTTATTTCTTTTACTTTGAGATTTATGTATGTCTGTGCACCACGTACATGTATTAATCAATGATAATATTAATTGGTATATTACTCAATCTCTTAATTACATTTATCTGTGAACTGGGGAGATTCTTCAGAAAATATTGATATTTTTAAGGTTAAACATGATCATTAATAATGCCCATTGTTTTTCTTTTTCTTCAAAGCATGCTGATTTAGTATTACCATTTATTTGTGAGGAATCCCTATCTTTTCATAACAAAGGTCTTATTTAGACATTATTATTTTTTATTTATCACCTACCTACTCTATCTATTTTTGGTGTTTTTGAGACAGGATTTCTCCCTGGAGCTGAGGCTATCCTGGAATTTATTCTGTAGACCAAGCTGGCCTCAAACTCAAGAGATCCATATGCCTCTGCCTACTGAGTCCTAAGATTAAAGGCATGCACCAGGACCACCAGAGAGTTTTTATCGTATTATGGGCCTTGCCTTAAAGTATTTATTATAGTTTATGTTGTAGCTAGACATTCACGTATATAAAGTTGTCTTTTGTCAGTTAAAGACTGAGTTACCAATACTCAGACTATGTCGATGACTGTGTTAATAATACTCAGAAAGAAATCTTAATAATCTCCAGCTCAGAATTTAAAATGCACCTGAGTACTTCCTGTGCCTTTGAAATGGTTTTTAACAGCAAAGCATTTTTTATTCTTTAATGTATTACATTTACATGTAGCTTGGCTTTTGATGATATAAAATTGGTTATACTCCTTCAGAAGAAACTTATTATAAAGTATATATTACATTTGTAAACATCTTAACATGTTTTTTCACTCATGATAACTGATGAGGTTGACCAAACCAAATTGGTTTTATCTTACAAGGCTTTCAAAGTGTTATTCAGGGGAAATATATGCAATTATTTTAACTATTTATGAACTACTAACCAGTAGTTATAAAGGCACTAAGACAGATATGTTGAAGGTTATTTAATATTGAAAAACATTTATAATTTGAGGTGTTTTAAAGGCTGATTTTTGTTAAACAATCTCATGTTTAGTATTTATCAATTCTAGTAGGATATAAAACTTGTTCTATCTAATACTTATACCTCAAAGAATGCACTGCCATTTTAGTATCCGTCACAATTTTAAACACATTTATTTCTAATCTGTTCAGCATAAGCTGGATGGAAAGAAAGTCACATAGGGAGAGTATGTTCTAAAATTGACTTGGATAATGAATCTTCTTTAATGAAAATGTTATATTCCTCTGAGTAGTGCCTTAGCAGGTAACTTATTATTAGCTGATAACTGAAAGGTGTCCTCTCTGTTTTCTATCACATTCTGCAGGTGTGTTCAAAGCAACATTGTCTTGTTGACACAAGCCTTTAGAAGAAAGTTTGTCATTCCTGACTTTATGTCTTTTACCTCACACATTGATGAGTTATATGAAAGTGCTAAAAAGCAGTCTGGCGGGAAGGTAAGGTTGATACACATATTTTCCTAATGTAAACATTTAATGCAAAATAATAAACCTGGATATTTTATGAATTAACTCAGTCTAGCCATTATATTTGATGCTTTTTAAACGATTTTAGTTAAGTACTTACTCTTTATTATTTTTCTGCCTACAGTGAAACCAAGTTTTAAAAAAATTTAATTTGTAAAATGACTGAAGTGGCTTTACATTATTTTAACTAATAAAAATGACTGACATTTCTGCAGATGTGATATCCGTTAATATAAAGTAAAATATTTCTAGGTTTTAAAAACTATCCAGGGAAAGTCAAGCATGGTGGTGCCTACCTGTAATCCTAGCATGTTGGAGGTAGAGAAATGAGGGTCAGGAATTTAGAGGGGTGACTCTACTGTGTCATTAAGTATGAGCCCAGTATATGAGCCTGTGCTACAGAGGAATCTGTAACATGCCAGCCCTAACAAGGCAGGTCTATTAGTCTTCCCAACCAAGTATTCCATGCAGTAGCAGAGACTCTTATATAATCTCAGTGTTAGATTTTAAATTCTTTTTTAGAGTCTGCATGTTTACAAAGAGAGATAGCATTGGGAATTAGAGATTGGTAGACAAGTCACCAAATGTCATGCTGGTACTCAAAGTTATGTATTAGTGTATTTTATATATATCATTAAAAGACAGACTGAAGTCTGTCATTGGTGAGTAGTCATTGGTGAAAGAAAACATATTGCCTGTCTTGTCTATCTTGTGTCTCTTAAACTCTTTCCTTTTTGGGTAGGTTGCTGATTATATTCCTCAGCTGGCCAAGTTCAGTCCTGATTTGTGGGGTGTATCTGTCTGTACAGTAGATGGGCAAAGGTAAGTTTTGTTTTGTTTTTGGTTTGGTTTTTTGAGACAGGGTTTCTCTGAAGCTTTGGAGCCTGTTCTGGATCTCACTCTGTAGACCATGCTGGCTTTGAACTCACAGAAATCCACCTGCCTCTGCCTCCCAAGTGTTGGGATTAAAATTTATCCATCAAAAATTTGCAAAGTAATAGTTGCAAAATACAGTCTTTTATAAATTCGTGAAAACCATATTTGAGAAGTGTTTGTATTTTAAGCAAGCTACTGACAAAAAAAAAAAAGGATCCTTGAAGAATTATCAGAAAGTGTTATGTGGGAGAACTATGAAGAAAATGATTTGATTTTAAAAAATCTCAATTAAGAAAGAGCTTTGGGAAAAAAAATGCTAAAATATGGGAATGTTTTCTCAAGAACTATTTTGGTGGATGAGAGGGTCAGTGCTTGGGAGGTGATGGCTTGTTACAAGCAGTTTGCCACCAGCCTGGACCCAGAGCTACATCAGCCAAAAAATAACACACAGAGACACTGTATTAGATATAAAGCTGTGGGCCAGTGCTAGAGCTTCTTACTGGCTAGCTCTGTCTAAAATATTAACTCATTTCTATCAGTGTTTCCATGTGGCCTTATCTTACCAGAGAGAGGGTCCGGACCTCTTAGTCCTCTTGGTACTACCTTTTGACTCCTCTCTACTACATCTCCTAGAACCCTCCTTGTCTCCTACTCCCGCCTATCTTGCTTTCCTATTGGCCAAAAGGGCTTTATTCATTAACCAATAAGAGAAACATATTTACAGAATGATATCTCCCATCAATAGGTTGGTGGATAAAGTGTTTAGTATACAAGTATAAAGTCCAGAGTTGGTCTCTGGCACAAAATCCCAGGCAAATGTAGTTTCACTGTAATCCCAGCAGTTGAGAGAGAGAGAGGCATAATGATCCTCAATGCAAATGAGCTAACAAAACTAGTGAATAGGCAAGCTTCATGTTCATTCTACTTCAGTAAAGTAGAGAGGATGAAGGGCTTGATGTTAGTCACACATGTGCACACAGGGGTCTATCTACTTATATACAAAAATGCACACATACATACCTCAGTGCAAAAATATTTTTATTTTGCTATAAGTCAGACTTAAAGGTCATTGTCAGGTTCTAATTTGGATGTCCGAAGAATTATGTCTCAGTGTTTTTCCTGCTGAAAACACTTAGCTTAGAAATTCTTCCTTAACTTAAAATCCTTCCTTAAAATTACTTTTTAAAATGAAAATACAACTTAACATAAAAATATATATACAACTTGTATTGTTCATACAGCTTGATGAATTTATATTAATGATAGAATTTTACTCTACCCCCAATTTTGAGTGCCAGTTTCTTTATGTAGCTGGGCTGGCCTAGAACTTACTCTGTAGCCTAGGCTATTCTCAGACTTTGTATCTTCATGCCTCTGCCTCTGATTTGATGATAGGCATGTGCCACCATGCTTGGCAGTACCCTAAAGTTTAAGGCTATAAGTCAGGTAAATGTATAATTTTTAGGTTTTTCTTTTTAAGCTAAAGTTAAGTTTTTTCGTCTGTTTGTGATCTTAATTATCTAATCTGAAATAATCCTTAAATTATAATAAAAGCATATGTTCTTTTTAATGTTTAAAGTTACACATTCTTGTGGAGATCAGAGGAGTCTGTTCTCTCTCATCATGTGGATCCCCATCAATTAAACTCTGGTTGTCAGGCTTGGTGGTGGGCACCTTTACTACAGCATCATCTAGCTAGCCCTTAAACTTAAACATCTTTTATATTGAAGTAAACATTTGTAGTTGAATTATGGGAAAATACAAATTAGAGTTAGTGTAAAAAGAGGAAGTTCAATCATGCAGCTGTTTCTAGTTGATGCTAATTGCTTTTAAAATCTACTTTAATAGGCATTCTATTGGTGACACCAAAGTTCCCTTCTGTCTTCAGTCCTGTGTGAAACCCCTGAAATACGCCATTGCTGTTAATGATTTGGGAACTGAGTATGTGCATCGCTATGTTGGGAAAGAGCCAAGTGGATTAAGATTCAACAAACTGTTTTTGAATGAAGATGGTAAGGAGTACTTACAAGTTGGTTGGAGAAAGAAATAACTCATTTTTCTGTTTAAATATCAGTAATTTGAATTCTGCTTTTGAAGAAACCTTTTCCTGTTTTTAAAAATTTGCCATAGTTTCTTTGATCTTTAGAGATAGTTTAATCACCTACTTTTCAAAATGGTTACTTTAGATTATCTTATGCTATTAGCAAGATAAGGGCAAAGGATGCATTCCACAGCTGGACATAGTGCACGCTTGTAATCCTAGCATAATAGGAGATGGAGTGAGGTGGACCAGGAGCTCAAGGACATTGTTGCTGCATAACAAATACAAGGGTAACCTTGGTTACCTGAGACCCTGCCCATTTATAAATAACTTACATTATACTCACCCACCAGGGATTCTGTTAATGTTTGAAAATGCTTAGAATGTACTTAGGAACAACCCACTGGGAACAGCTCATAGATCTGGGGTAGTCATGATTATTGTGAGTCTGTTGCTAATATTTAAGTTAAAAGCACCTATTTGGTAGAGGTGGCACAAACAAATAGCTAGATTCCATTTCCTTAGCAGTTTCATTACTAGAGGCTCTGACCCTCTTTTGTCCATAAAATATATGAACCACTCTGTTGAAATAAGTGTCATATACTATAAAAGACATTCAGAAATGAGGTAGCATGGCTTTATCTCATGGAGAGTAGTGTTTCTCTTTTTCCATATTCACATAATGTATGTGTATTCATATACTGCCTTCATACTTGAGGAAAGTTCTATACTGGGCTGGGACTAGAATTTGAGGATGTTCATATACTGTGGTTTTAATGCTAGATAGTGGGATTTGTTTCTGTGTGACTTTGGTTATTTTCCTTCATCATGTTTGCTATTTGGATGAAATACTTGTATCAGATAATTGGACTTCTTAACAAGAATTATTACTTGAGTCCCAGCATTCAAAGAAGAAGGAAAACAGACAGACAGTATTTCAGTCTCAGGATTTTTAAATCTGAGCCACAGGTAGCTTGACTTCATTCCTGTAGATTGTCTTCTGTGTTTATCCTGCAGGTATGTGAAGTTATTTGATGATTTAAGGTACAGAATTGAAGGAAGCAAGTGAAGTTTGAAAAAATTATAACTTTTATGTTTTCTTTCTGCCAATTTTTTAAAAAAAATGAAATGTCTCATTGTTTTATTCATCAAATAGAATCAAAACTATTTTCTATGTTTTTCTTACTATATTGTTAGAGCAGCTACATTTTTCTTCTGTGTTTTACCATAATCTTTGTGCCTTTTTCCATAATTTTTATGCTAATAAATGAGAATATATTGGCAACTTCATTGAGGATATCATATTCCAAAATATTTATTATGCCAATTGACCTAGGTTTAATGAAAGAATTCATTGTTAGTCCTGGATGATAAGATATTCTATAATATAATCAGCACTTTCTTTTGAAAGGCAAGGGGGGGGATAGTCAAAATTATTCTGACAGATACGTTGATTTGGAGGAAGGTATTTAAAGATCTAAAGACAAATGTAGGAATTTGAATGTCAGAAATCTTTTTGAGGGGCTGTTTAGGTGGTTCAGGGATTAAGACTAGCACCATTGGATTAACAATGTGCAGCTTCAGTTCCAGGAGATCTGATAGCCTCTTCTGGCCTCTTCCACCATCAGGCACACACATTGTGCAGAGGCATACATCCATCCAGGGATAACACCCATACATGTAAAATAACAAAATATCTTTGGAAAAATTTAAAAATCCTCTTGAAGAAAAATAGATAAGATGGGAATTGGGGTAAATAAGTTTAAAATTAGTAATACATTTTTTTTTTGCCATATTCATGAATGATTTTAAAAAGGGTGATTTATTGGTGATATAGTCTATGTAAGAAAACGATTGTGATGAGAACTCAAGATTTTAGTGCTGGTTTTTCATAAGACTTGAAATACAAATTTAACAAAAATTCTTGTCTACCAATAATCTTAAGGAATTGTAGGGAGAAGGTTCAGTACCCTACTTGTTCCTGAGCTTTCAAGGGATATTGTGCTATTGAATCATGGTTTATACCATCACTAACACAAAATTGTTTGAAGATTTTTTTCTCATATAAAATTTCACTAGTAGATTATAGTGAAGCTATATAAACAGATGTGTTTGTGCATCTATTCATTTCAGCATTATATAGTTACAAGTATCATTCATGCTATGTAAGATGATAATAAAGATTAATGTAAATATGGTGGATAGATAAGCAACAGTGGTATTTTATAAGCATATGTTGTATTTTTAAAGTGTTTGAAGTGTAAATGATTTTTGTTCTGAGATTAGAGTTGGCTGATTCTTCCTATCAACATAAGTGAGGAAACAAGTTTATGGAGATGGCAATTTTGGAAAATATCTTTTAAGAAAGTTTTCTTTTTAAAAATAACTTCTTGATTTATTATTATGGTGTGGAAATGTGTTGTAGGCTGAAGGGTATGTGCATACCACAGAGGTCAGCAGACAACATTATGGAGTCTGGTCTTTTCCTACTTTTACATTGGTTCCAGTGATTAGACTGAAGGCCTCAGGCTTGTCCAGCAAGCACTTTATATGCCAAGCCATTATGCTGCCCCATCCTTACCTACCCTCTAGTGACTAAGTTAACCAACAAATATTTAGTCTAGTGACTAAGTTAACCAACAAAAATCTTGTTGAGTAATGAGCTCAAGAGGCTGGGAGGGGTTTGGTTCTTGGGGTAACTTACTTAGCTAATCTGAAATATGTAGAAAATAATACAGCTAATACATGATAGTAAAAGACAAGTTAAGCTTTTCATAATCATATTACCTCTGGTGCAAAAGTTTAGAAGGCATATTGTTGATAATCTTAAATCAGCAAAGCCAAAATATGTTACGTATACAGGATTTGAGAAAGAAGAGTTGAGTTGATTTTATATAAGATGGCAGCTGAGTTACTGAGAAAGAATGGAGCTTGGGTTATTGAGGAAAATACAAGTGAGCGCTGTAAAATTGAGCTGTGTGTAGACTATATTGAAAACATGATTTTGTGGGATAATTAGGTTTAATTTTTGTGGTACTGCAAATATAGTATAATACGTAAAATATAAAGATCCAGATTAAACTGGGCACCTTCAAAAATGCTTTTTAGTTCTTTAATATATGCATTAACAAACTTAATATACTTTCAGTTATGAAGTCTTTATTCAGGGCAGTTTCAAAAAGTAAAAAAAAGTATGAAAGAATTCCATTCATATTTCATTGCCAAGTGCAAATAGACATTTGTTAAAATAAAATACATGTTCATAAATTGCAAATGTTTCATGTTCTTTTTTTTTTGGTATGCCAAGCTCTAATATATGTTAGAATACTTTAAATAGTAGTACAACTGTTATTTCTATTGCTAATAAATGTTTAGGAATTTTAAATTTGTTCCTTCTTTCCTGCTTTACTCATTTCATAGTAGAAATCAAGCAGGTTTCATACCCTAAGTCTTACTTAGGTCGCTGTTAGATTGCAGTAATGTTGGTGTTCTCCTTTGCCAGTTTCTGGTTTAGGTGCTTGTTTTTGAACCACAGGTGTAGAACACAAAGTAGATGACATGCCAGGAAATAGTTTATTGTTTGAAAAAGTCTTGAATGCAATTTAAGTAGTATTTGCACAATATTTATCATGCCCAGATATTTCTATCAAACACCAGTATATACGGATTGCTACCTTCTAGTCCTGAGGATTTAAATGTGATACTATACAAAATAAAACAAGACAAAAGAAACCTGACCGACTAACAAACTTATATAAGTACATATATAGTGTAATTTAACAATTGAGTTCTTTTATATTCTGCCTTCCCTTTGCTTGAGATTTTTCTTTCAGGTCAGTATATGTAAGTATTCTTCTTTCTTCATTCCCTCTTATGCATACATACATACGTAAATGCATACACATACCCACACATAATATAGTCTTCTGAGAAAGCAAGTGTTTGGGCAAAGCATATTTCATTTGGTCAGCATATTTTGAGGAAGGTAAATTTTTAATTACAGTGGTTACAATAGGCTTTTAGCATTTAGAACTAGTCTATATTAAATAATTTAAAATGTAGTTTTTCTTTTAAGTACAATTATAAGCATTGATGGGGTACAACATGTGCTTTGTATCATAAAAGTACAAATTAAACTGCCTTGAATTTGCTCACAGACTTTATTTGTAGTGTGAATACAAATTGTTTCTTTAGCAATTTTGAAGCTTATAACACATTAGCTGTTGTTACCTTATTATTTATCTAGTAGATAATTTTGCTCACTTATATTTTTCCTTGATTGATATTTTTTCATACCTCTGTCATACCCACAGCCCTGGTAGCAACTATTTTCTGTTTCTGTGAATTCCGTATTTTTAGAACTTATGAGTTCCCTACTTTTATATCCTACATTAAAGAAAATCGTGTAATGTTTTGTTTTTTTGTACCTGGTTTTACTATTTGTAATATCTTCTGGGTTTATTTGTGTTACTATAAATATTTACTTGTTTTAAGTCCAAGTAATATTCCTTTATTATATACTGAATTTTCATTATTCATTCATCCACTGGTAGACACACAATCTCATATCTGAGCTCTGGTGAATAAATGTTACAATAAACACGAAAGAATGACAGTATAAAGTTACCATTTCCTTTGAATAAATGTGCTCAGAATGGATTTCTGAATCCAAAATGTGCAGTTTTAAAAGGTGATTTCTGAATTTGGTGACTCTCCATTGAAGGAAATAGACTGATGTACACAATCAGTTATCCTTTCTTGCTCTTTTTTAAAAGGAAAATGCGTAAAGCCACATGTTTCTCTTTGTTATGCAGAATCTAGTTTTAAAATGTGTGAGACATCATTAGGACTACTGTGTGGGAAAGAAGAGAACAGTAGAGGAGAAGAATGCAAAATATATGTATGTGAAGACACCAACATGAAATCTAACTTTGCAGATGATTTTTTAAAAGCTGAAGAAATTTTATCTTCAGTTATACAAGTCATAAATAGTGCAGTTTATTCATTGACAGTGTACAATTTGAGGCGGCTGGGTTTGGGAATAAACAGACCTGTGATCTCATCTCTTAGTTGTACATAAGAAAGTCATGAGTTTGAGGACAGCCTGGGTTATTTACACTATTCCAAAATAAAAGCAGTAGCAAAAGTATACACTTCAGTAGCTTTTACTATATTCATAGTTATGAAATCACTCAGTCATATTTGGATCACTTTGACCACCTCCAAACCAAATTCTATATTCACTAGTTATTCCCTATTTCTTTTTAACCCTGGAACCTAGTCTATAGATTAATTTATGTGAGAGACTTCAGATAAATGGGATCACTTAATATTTGGTCTTTTATGAGTAGTTTTTGTCAGCTTAATATGTTTAAGGTAATCAACTTAATAAATTTTATTCCTCTTCATAATATTTCATCATGAGTAATACTAGTTTAACTATTTTTTAGCTGATGGTACATTAGACTTCTCTTAGCGCTCTCTCGGAGAGAGAGTGGCTGGGTCCCATGTTGACTCTATTATTTTGACTGCTTTTTCAGAGCTCACAGATTTAGCTAGAGGCTTGTCTTGTGGAATTTAGCTTGCTAAATTCAAGGAACCCAATAGTGTTGTGCAGGTAAATGTGTGTGCTAGGACTATCCAGATTGATAAGCTGATCCCAAGGAAATGAATCATTATCACAGAAGTAGAAGTTTTAAGGTAGGAACTCATGTAGCCCAGGCTAGTCTTAGAAGAATGTGCTCCATACCTTGCTGGAAATGTTTTCAAGTGGATATTTTTAATGTAAGAATTTTGTGTTCATAATTTGTTGTGCAGTGAATGGTAATGTAGTAAACTTTTAAAAATTGATTTAAGAATTAGAGTTATTAATTAAGCCTTTACATTTAAGAATTAAAATTGAATTTAATTTAAAGAATTTAAATTCTTAAAAACTTAAGAATTTAAAAATTAATTTTAAATTTAAGAATTGGAATAAGTTAAGCTATAAAATAGCATTTTAGGAATTAGAAGAAGATAGGATTATGGGTTAACTTAAAAGTTAAATTTTATTTTAAAAAAGAGGCTAGATGGGCCAGTGGTTAAGAGCACACATGCTGCTTTGGAGAGGACCCGGGTTCAGTTTCCACACCCACATGGCAGCTTAATGTAATTCCAGTTCTAAGGGACAATCTCCTCTGTCCTCATCAAACACATATGGTGCACATATATACATGCAGGTAAATACACACACAAAATAAAAATAAAGCATTAAAAAAGAAATGTATCCTTTACTGCTAGGAAATGTTGAAGGTATGGAGAATACATTAATCTTACTATTTAGACATATCAATGTTTTGTGTCTTCAGTGGCTATATAGACACACACATTTGCATTACGTCCAAGAACCTTTTTAAAATGTAAAATTGGGATTACATCATGGGCTTTGTGGTGACATATTGTTTAGGTGATATGTTGTTTGTGATCTAATAAAGCTTGACTGAAGGATCAGAATGCAAAGCTAGTCATAACCATAGAGGCCAGGCAGTGGTGGCATACACCTTTAATCCCAGGACTAGAGACAGAGGCAGATGGATCTTTATGAGTTCAAGACCACTCAGGGTTCCATGAGAGTGAATCAATCTAAAGAGAAACAGAACTCATGCCTTTAATATTAGCACTAGAGAGGTGAAGACAGGAGCAGGATCTCAGAGCAGACTTTCAGTCTCATGGCAATTAGTCTCCAGCCACCATGAAGACAGGATCTCCCCAGCCCTGGGAGAGGTAAGAGTTAGTGGTTGGCTGCTTTGCTTTTCTGATCTCTTCAGCTTGAACCCAATTATCTGAATTTTTATTATTTGTGCTACAGAGCTTTTTCAAATATTTTTATTATATCATTCAAGTGCTTAGTAGGTGTTAGCTATGTATATGCATTTTGTGAGCTTTAATCACAGTAAGCGATATATTCAATCATTATAAATCAGAGATAAAAATTTGGTTCCTGCATACATACATACATACATACATACATACACACACACACACACACACACACACACACACAATATGTATGTATATATGGAGGGATTAAGAATAAAACAGCAGGGTTACCAAATTTGGATGTGCTTTTAACATGACTTTTTACGGACTGTTGTGTGAATCTTTTTTTACTATATGATTACCACAGAATTCTGGGTGTGAACAGCTGTTTTGAAATGTACCTGACTCCAAACAATTCTCCCTGCAGAAAAGTCCATCCAAGAAAGTGGTACCAAGTATTTGAAACAATGCTGTCACTTTATATTTTACAGATAAACCACATAATCCTATGGTAAATGCTGGAGCAATTGTTGTGACTTCACTAATAAAGGTAAAATGTTGACATTTCCTTTTAACCTAGTAAAATTTAATAACTAAGGAATAAATACTTATTTTGGATTGATTATGCAGGACTGTGATACATTTTCTTTTGGAATTAAGAAAATAGTCTTGTTATTGGGTTAGGATTTTTATCTCCACCCCCCCCACCCCCACCCATGTGATGTCATTTCAAGGGCAGAATGCAAAATACCTGACTCAGCATGAATTCCAAACCATTAGTTAACTTGTGGGTGTAAAGCTTTGGCACAGATTTAAGAACTTTACACATCAGTGGAAGTTGAGGTGTTTCTTTTTAAAGCTTTTAATACTTTTTTTTTCTCTTTGCTTCTAGAAAGAACAAATTTTTTTTCTAGAAAGAAGCATTTACCATATTATATTTTTATTAGTAAATGTAGGATCAAATGTCCTAATTTGCATTTGAAACATTTATTATATTAAAAACTGAATTGTTTTTATCCTTATAAGCTGGGATCACAATTCTCATTTAAATTTCTTTCATTTGTTTTACTTATATCATGTCATAAGTAAAAAAAAAAAGTAAGGTTTCTTCCAATTATTACATTACTTATGTTTCTGTGTTTGCATTGTGTGTTGACTTATTTATGTTAGTGTTTGTATTGCCTTAATAATTGGAAGCTAATGTTTTGAAATAAGTATTTCAAAATGGTTCTCTTGTGTGATAGACTTTTATATATATCACACAATTTCAGACCACCCACCCTTTTCATTTTAAATTTCTAGTTGTGTTACTTATTAAAATGAATTTTGTGTTTGGGACATTTATGTTCTTCAATAAATTTATGCCTGTATATATCAGGTTAGAAGAAATCATAACTCATGAACTTGTACATGGATTATTGTAGATGGGGTACTCCAGATACAAACAAAATGCAGAAGGGTAAATTTCAGGCTAAGCCCAGTTCACAAAAATTCATCTAATTGCTATATTTGAAATCCTGCATTAACTGCCAATGCATTTCAAAGCAAAGAACTGCCATCTTAAAATATATGCTTATTTTAGGGCAATGACTTACAAGCATTGGCCCACTTAACTAATTAAGTAGATTTTATAATCTAGTTTTAATGTAGCTAGTTTTAGTAAGTTTATGCTATCTAGTTATAGTGAAAATTATTGTAGAAACCAGCAGTGCAGTTATACACAAGGCACAGCGTTGTGTTTTAAGTGTCCTTAAGTATGAAATATATATAGTTAAATGAGCCTTTATTACTGAATCCAGTAAAAGTTATTATGAGAGAAATCTCATTAGTAATTCAGAGTTGAGCAAGCAACGAATTAGAACTAAGGAAAGTTAGTCTACAATCTCTGTTAATATATAGCTTTCAAAATACTAGAATGGCTCTAAACCATTTTGGGGTCTTACAAAATGTCCAGATTCCATGATTTTATATATATTAGTGGGTTCATTTACCTTCTTGAAGATGATTCATGGAGTCCATCATAAAAACTACTTCAGTGGAGAGACTGTTGGAGTTCAAGGTTCCTCAGTTACATAGACTTAAAGGTAGACTGGTACACTTGAGATGAGACCTTGCCATAGGAAGTAAGATCCTGTCACAAGGGTTGGGAAGTGGTCACATGGAGAAGATTAACATGGCACACCAGTAGGGTTCACTTTGTAAATGATTTACAAAATGCCTTCATAACTGCATGTAGTTAAAATCCTTTGGTTTGATTTATGGGCTTAGTCAAGTACACTGATATGCTGCATGTGGGAAATGCATGTCTGGTCATGCCACACCATCATTTCATTAGTTTAACTTACCATAGTCAGTCATAAGTCATAAACCACATTGATCCACATTAGTGAGAACAATTAGGAACAGTAAAGAAACACACAAACAACATAAATGCAATTCAGGGTTCAATAGTAAAACAACATTTTGTATTTATAAATTTGACTGGTTTTAAATTTGTAAAATTTAAGTTTACCAGCAAAGTTTGGCAGTTCAAACTCAAATTTTTGAGTTTTTTTTTTTTTTTTTTTTTTTTTTTTTTTTACTGAACATAATGTAAATCTTTAAAGGTAGAAGCTTGGCACAAATGTAAAACTGCCCTAGAAAAGAAGACATTTCTTAGGTTAAAAAATTTAGATTTGTTAGGTATCGGTATGTTGCCTTTGTATAATTATGTATATGAATTGGTAATGGTTTGAAGTTGAGTTAATAAAACCTGTGCCATATTTAATGTAGGGGATTGCTATTTCCCTTAATGATGTCTTTGACTTTAGCAGTTATAAAATCAGAAATACTGTATTATTTTCACTTGTATAGACAGTGATTTGTTGGCCATAAAAGCTGTATCTACTTTGTAAATGGGTGTATGTAATCATCATTTAGACACTAGTTGGTGCCTACTCTCTGAATGCAAACAGGCTCCTTCTAAGGAGCTTGAACTTGAATGCCTAAAGCAGGTTTCGTTTCATGGCTACCAGATGCTTTTAGCTCTTGTCTTGACCTTAAGACTGTTTTGTTTTTCTGTTCAAATTTTGGGGCTTTGTTATGGTGCCATTGCAACAAATCTCATGTTACACCCTCCAAAAAAAAGTAGAGTCTTTAGTAAGACTCTTTATTTCATAATTTTGTAGTATTGATATTTTTTCCTTGTAGGATTGGTGGTGATCCTCAGGAAATGGGGGAAGAGGCAGAGCAAATGTTCAAAAGGATTAGCAGATTGTGGAAAAAGGAGGATTTGGACAGAAGGAACCTGTTGCATTAATTCTTAACCACTAAGCTTATAGGAAAACTCCAAAATTTAAAAATTTAAACAAAGCTATATAGGTAAATACCTTTTTAAAAACATGTAATTTTACACTTAAAATGCACATAATTAAAAGACATAAGGGTTACTCTTACTCGCTGTTGTCCTAGTAGCTATGAACTTTAAGGGAATACTTTGTTACAGTCTTGTTTTATCTCATGATGATAATGTGTGATTGTGTGGTTTAAAGGAAAGAATGAGAATAAGAGGGATATTTCACGTTTTTGTTTTTCAGTGATAAAAATGACCTAGTTATATCTTAAAAGTTAAAGTCTACTTGAGTATTGGGGTAGGAAACTGAGGGCAACATACTACAAAATGATTGTCACTATTGCATTTTAATTTTAGAGATATAGTAAGCAACATATATATCTGTTCTAGTGGTCATACTAAGTTGTATTACTTGGACAAGTTTGCTTATGTGGGATTTTTCCCCGTTTTAGGAAGCAATCACATTTTTAAATTACAACATTGATGATTTTGAAATGTTCTGTAAAAACTCAAGACAAGTTTAATTCATCATATGCTCTTTTACATTTGCCATATTAGCCATAGTCTGGCAGATTTCTTAGTAAAACCCACGTCTCAGATGGCCTGTCACTTTTCAGCAGTAGTGCCTGATGTTCTGGGCTTGGCATATTTAGAGCACAGGAGTTTGTTTAATGGTTTATTTATGTAAGGTTTATATTAGTAGATAAGGGGTTTTTTCTTTTTTCTTTTTTTTTTTAATGACAGGTAGTTTTGTTTTGTTTTTTTCCAACTGAGTTAATTGTTCTGTTCCTTTATTTTTAGAGATAATCAATAAAAGTACTAGATCAGCAGGGCACAATGGCACATGTCTTTATCCCAGTTCTCTGAAGCAGGATCTCTGTGAGTCTGATGTCAGTCGTGTGTGTATCATGAGTTCTAGGCCATCTGGAGGTAATAATAGGGTCCTGTCTCCAAAAAGCCCTAAAACCCAGATCTAGAACAATGTTACCTTTTACTTTTAATACTAATTTGTAGTTTAGTAACATTTAATTTCAGAAAATTCTTCTGTGGCACAAAGACTATTTTATAAAATCATTTTCCATAACCTCTCTTTGCCTCTTCTGTGATCTCTAATTTAATTGGCTTGCATGTCTACTCTTTATGACCACATTGCATAATAATAATTGATTAACATATTGGCTGTTTAATGAAATATTTTAGTGTTGCCAAGTATATTTGTTGTTGCACAGCTATGAATTAATTCATGAATATGTTGTAAATCAGATATTAAATTATTCCCACATAGTTACAATAAACTCCTTCAATTTATTTATTTATTTATTTATTTATTTAGGTGATGTTAGGTATCAAACATAGGATGTGAGTCTAGGTGAGCTTTGTACCCTGAACTACCTCCCTAACACTTAAATTAATTGTTTTAATGGAATTAAATTAGTTGTTTTAATGGAATTAAAGCTTTATCACTTTTGTTAAATTTTCACATACACTTTTCCTTAAAGAGGTATAAATTCTATAGTTTAATACACACATTTATATAAGATCTTAATTTTTATAATTTTCTATCAATCTTTTTACTCTTCTCAAACAGACTACATGGTTTACTTTAAAAAATTGTTTAGTTAATAGATTAAAATTTTAAAATATATTTTGCCCAGTTTAATTTCTTTAAAGTTTTTCCAATTTATTGCAAATTTCTATGAATGTTTTCGGAATAGTGCTTGTACTGTGAGCTTCATGCTGGAATAAATATGTCCCTGGTACATGAAGGACTAAGGGGCAAGAGCATTGGTAGTTTAAGAACATTACTTTCCATATGTGTTTTCTATGTTCCCTTCTCAAAATAATTTGCTTTTGGTTTAGGTAGTTCCCATTTTTGCAGAAGAAAGGGCATCACATGTGTTCCATATTTTATTATAGTTAACTGCTTTAGGGTAAAAGTTTTGTTTGCTAATGAGACAACACTTTAAAGTACTGAAGTTAGTAATATTGAGCCTGTAAATCAAAGTAATTAATGCCTGGTAAAAATTATTTCTACCAATAACAGCATTCTAGGTTGTTTCCTTTGTTTAGTTTAACAAAACTGAAATGAGGCTTACAATGAGGCTTACGCAGGTTGAGCTCAAGTAAATATTGGTTACTATCTGATAAGGTTCAGGTATGTAAAGGATTGAGTAATGTTGCTAGAATGAAACCTTGTTCCATGTCAGTCTGCTCATTAATTATACAGACATTAAGAAACCTTTCTCAGAACTTTGGTGTGAGAATTCTTACAATGTTCTGTCAGTAGAAACTATTAATTGGCATATGAACAAAAAAATCAGTTATGATTTTGAAGACCAAAGAAAATTATTTAAAAGATAATTATACAAATCAGTGTGCAAGATGGTTAACAAATCAACATCTTCTTTCAAACATTTTCCTATCAACTGATTGAATAGAATGACCAGCCCCAATTACCCATTCCATGCTTCAGTTATTACTGTTTTATATCTGTTCTTTCACCCCTCTGAGTTTACTATATTAGTTTTTTTCTTCTTCAGTATTTCTTTTCTTCAGCAGAGCACATTTACTCTGTTTTGTATGTGTATATATGCTTTTCTCCTAAGAGCTTTTCACAAAAACTTTTTACTCAACATTTCAATATTATAATTAGGTCCCATCTATCTGATCTAGTCATCTGTTACAGGAAATCTTTCCAAAAGATAGGGAGGCAACTAAATTGTAAAGATTTAAGTTAAACACATTTGCAGGATAGATAAGAACAAGTACAAATGAAATGTTTTTACATTTAAATGAGAAAGAGATACACTTTAGTCATTGTAACCATTCATCAGTTTATTTTTCCCTACTTACATAAATATGCTTAGGGTGTTTCAGATCCCTATTAAAAACATTATGTAATAATAGAATCCCAATGCAATAAATAATACAATAAAGACAGGTTATTTCTTTCTTAATTTTTTTTTCCTAGGATTTCTCTGCATATTCCTGCCTGTCCTGGAACTCCAGGCTGGCCTCAACCTCACAAAGATTCACCTGCCTCTGTAATTTGTTTTTAAAAACAATTTAAAAGCAAAATTCAATTTTTGCAAGCCATAAAATAGACCAACTATGTGACCAAATCTAGAGTTCAAATGTTTTTATATTAAACTTTATAATTCAACAAAGAAAACTTGTATTAAGCAGGGTAACAACTTAGGTTAGAGAATGAAAGTTTAACGTAATTCATTTATTTTATACTGATTAATTGTGTGACCAGTGATTAAGTGATTATCCATGTGACAACACAGTTGTGCTTTTTTTTTTTCTCTTTTTTTCTTTTTTGTGCTATTTCTAAGGTTAAAAAGGTTTTCGTGGCTTAAATGTTGTTACATATTTTACAGCATTAGGATCTATGGAATATTTTGACAACCGCAACAGTTCAATGAAGTTGGTAATTTCTTCTTTTAATTATTTTTCATTGAACAGCTTTGGAGTTATATGTCTACATATTTAATTCTGGTATATTATAAGAAAGCTTTAAAAATGTCAGGATGCTTTAGAGAATATATATAACCCCTAATGTAACAGAGGGGTTGCAATCTAACTGTTACTGAGTTATTTTTACATTATTTAAGTTTTGTTGATGTCTAATTTTGATGACATACTCTGGTGTTTCTTCACATTGCTGATTATGTACTTGTGACTGTACTTTCTAAATAGCTTGATTTGTAGGGTTTATATATTTGTCAGTCATAACTTGACTTCCCGTAGGGAGGATGGACCTGGCTTATTCAATAGATGACACTCTGGAAAAAACTCTGTTAACCACATTCCAAATTAGAGTGCTTCGGACTTTGAGGGTAGATTCTTAACAATTTGCTTTATAAGATGGTTGTCAAATTATTTGATTTGAATCCTGTTTTAGAAATTTAGAGATGTATTGTTTCTGTTGGGTGCATATCACCAATTAATACGTTTGATTTCAGATCTACAGCTTACTGCTTTGTAAACTTCGCCGAGGTAAAATGAAACCATTTGGCTACTTGAACTGATCTACATTACACAGGCGTTTTCCTAATAATATTTGTGGTAGATAACATATCAGAACTAGAAGTAATGAAACAATACATCTTCCATACTCTGAATTGATATAATGTTAAATATAATTGAAGTTGGTTTTTAGAACTATCAATGAAATAAACATTTTTTTTAGCTCAATTAGTTTTACCAGTGAGAGTTACTGAGGGTACAACTTTATCCATGCTAGTGTAATGTAGCCAGCATTTGCATATATCAGAATTAGAAAAGATGAGTCAGTTTTTTAACAACTCAAGATTTCTAACTTAATACTGGTTTAGAATTTGCTTTTCAAAAATACATTGTTCGTAATTGAAAATCATGCTTTATATATTATTATATTTTAAGGGTGAATTTTTTAAAAAGTTTTTTGAAACTCTGAAATTAACATTTTAGCAAACCACTTGCTGTTATGAAAGATAAGGGGTTCAGGGTAACTTGTATTCTGTAAGTCTGAGATTAGTAAATGCATTCTTAAAATATATATTCCCTTTGTAATTTTTTTTTTCAACATATGGGTGTTGACTTGTACAAAAGTTTAAATACTAAGTTACTTTAGGAGGATTTCCTAGATGTAAAAGTACTGTGCAGTTCATTGATTACAACGGTAGCGATTTAAAGTTTGTATTGTATTAACTTTGTATTTAACCTTAGTAGTGTTTGTATTAACATACTTGCCTTTCATTTCTTTGCAGCAAGGAGTAAATAATGCCGAGAAGTTCGACTATGTAAGTACAACACAGAATCATGCTTTTGTACTACATTCTTCAAGTACTTAATTTTGGTTACTAATTCTCCTAATTTGGTTTTATAGGTGATGCAATTTTTGAATAAGATGGCTGGTAATGAATATGTTGGATTCAGTAATGCAACGTGAGTCTAATTTGTTGCTTGGGTTTTTATAGTTGATCAGACTTCCTTAAAGTCACCTGATAATTAGACTATAGAATTTTATTTTTAATACTGTTTTACTTCTTATATATACACACATTCAAGCACACATGTGCATGTACTTAGGTATATGCACACAGTCTACTTATGGCTCTAGCACTTACTTTAGTGAATGGTTTATTAACTTAGAATTGGTCATTAGAGGGAAATTAGTCAGTTCTAACTTACCTGAATGAAATATTTAAAACAAGCAGAGACCCACGGCCAAACCTTAGTCAGACCTCAGGGAATCCTGTGGAAAGAAGGGGAGGAAGGATTATTGGCACCAAAGGGGTTAAGGACACCACAAGAAAACCACAGAATCAATTAACCTGAGCTCACTGGCTCATAGGGGCTCCACAGAGACTGAGCCCTCTCTCTCTCTCTCTCTCTCTATATATATATATATATATATATATATATATAGATCTGTTGTGTAACTTGATCTTCTTGTGGGTCTCCTAACTGTGGGAGCAGGGGGCTGTCTCTGACTCATTACCTGCTTGTGGAATGATTTCCTCCCAGTGGTTGCCTCATCCAGACTCACTAGGAGAGGAGGTGTTTAGTCTCACTGCAACTTGCTATACCATGGCTGGCTGATTTACATGGGAGGCCTGCCCTTTTCTGAAGAGAAAGGTGGGAGTAATGGGGTTGGTAGGTGTTGGGAAGAGGGACCGGCAGCAGATGAGGAAAGAAGGGGAACTGATGGAGCTAGAAAATGATTAATTAACTAATAATAAATCCAGGAAAAACATTTAAGAATGCTTTTCAGACGTTTCAATAAACATAAAGATAATCATAGACTCAGAAGGGACCTCAAGTTTATCTCAAAGTACCTGGGCTTATTTGATTTTGTTTTGGCTACAATATTTGTCTTACCTCATTTCTCTATGCCTGGCTAAGGTGATTTGTTTTTATAACCCCAACTTTTTATTTTGAAATTTTTAGTCTATTAAAAAAGTTGAAAGATATCTTTTATTTATACTTAAAAATGTTTTGTCTCTTCTGTTTTTCTTTTCATTTTTAAAAATCTTAATTTATGCATTGTGTGTATGTGTTTGTGAGGGTGTGAACTTATATATGAACATGTCTGGCAGTCAGAGGTTAATGTTGAATATATTTCCTCTGTTTCTCTCCATATTTATATTTTATTTATTTTGAGACAAGGTTTTTCACTAAGTTAGAAAGTTTATAGACTCAGCTATGTTAGCTGACTGGCCAGCAGCAAGTTTCTGGGCTCTCCCTGTCTCTGTCCCTGCTGTACTGGGGTTACAGGCTGGCAGGCACCACCATACCTGGGATTTTAGTTAGGTCTGAAAATCTGATCTCAGGTCTTTGTGCTCAGACTTAGCAGTTATTATGTTTAGTCTCTAAAGTGGAAGTTTAGTTTCTAGACCTTTTCATTTAAATTTTTATTTTGTGGGGTTGTAATTTTGTTTATTCATTTATTTTTGAAGGCTCAAACTGCTTGTTTTACAGAGCAGGGACAGACAGTTTTCCTTGGAAAGACCAGAGGTGCTACTACCTCAGTTTAACTTTTTCCAGGCAGCTTTTTTGGGATCTCATGAAGAATTGTTGTGTCCTTCAATAAGGTGTGTGTGTGTGTGTGTGTGTGTGTGTGTGTGTGTGTGTGTGTGTGTGTGTTTTGGTTGGGGGGGGTGGGTACCGAACAGCCTAGTGGCAAAGGTAAATCCTAGTTTATCTAGAGGCTGAGGCCGGGGGATTGCTTAATTCAAACCTACCTGGGATGCAGAGTAAATTTAAGGCTAGACTGTATAACTTAGCAAAGCTGTCTCAAAATAAGAAGTCAGAGGAGGGCTGGGGAAAATAGGTAATTGGTGGACCACTTCCCTAAAATGCCTGAGACCCTCACCCATTTCCTAGTGCCAGGAAGGAAAGGAGGTAAGAGCTTTTCCATATGTATTATTTTCAGACCATAGAAATGTTGAAAGTGCTGAGTCCATCTCAGTAATAGTGAATGTCACTCTTAGTTCTGCTACTGTTCAGCAGAAAGAAATATTCTGCCTCTGGAGTCTTCTAGGTTGATCTCTTAAATGTACTGTGTAATCTGTATGCATGTTAAGTCATTCTCTTCTAGCTCCCCCAGGGTTCTCTGTGTAAATTGTTAACAAAGCTTTAGGCGAGGCTTCACCCTGTCTATTCTGTTTCCTGTGCCAGACTCAGCCAGCTATATACATGTTTGATCACAGCCTTCCTCTCATATCCCTCCTCCTTAAGTTGTAGCTTCTTCAGCTTTTGTTTTAGTAGTCTGCTGTATCACCCGATCCTCATTATTTCCTTTTCCCCAACTGGTGTCTGTTATACTTTCAAAATACAGATTTGACAAGGAAACTTGGTTAAAAGTCTTCCAGCATGCGTTTTGTGTGCAGTTTTAACATTTAGTACCTCTAAAAATATGTTTCCTGGGGGTGGAGAGATGGCTCATGTGTAAGATCTGTGACTGCTCTTCCAGAGAACCTGGATTCAGTTCCCAACACCCACATGGTGGCTGACAACCATATGCAACTTTAGTTCCAGGGGACCTGATGACCTCTTTTAGCCTGTATGGAGACCAAGCACATATATTACAACATTACAAAATACTTGACAGCCAAGCTGTGGTACTTCATGCCTTTAATCCCAGCTCTTCCACACACACAAACACCCAAAATTGTCCTGGGTTCTGGCAGATCCTCCATTATTCTCCATGTACCATTTCCCAGATGCATCAAATCTTAGCCATTCTTTCATACTTTTGTACTTATTCTGCTTCATGGCGTTTGCCACTGTTTAATCCAATATACCCAAGGCAGTGTAAGTGTTTTGTTGAGAGAAATGAGGCAAACATTAGTCTTGAGTGTTAGATCACCGTCTTTATACTGTGTTTGCTATACAATTCAAGAGGTAAACAATGTTTTTTTTCTTCTAGGTTTCAATCTGAACGAGAAAGTGGGGACCGAAATTTTGCAATAGGATATTACTTAAAAGAAAAGAAGGTTTTTAAATTTTTGTTTCTATTCATAGTTATGCTTAATAAAATGACATATAAGAACTCAACAATAGCTTTTAATTATGTAAAGTGAAAAGTTTTTGAAGCACTCTTGAGTCAAGTGTTAACAAATGACTTATGTTAACATTAAATTGATTTTATGAGTCTGGTAGTATTCAAATATTTGATGATATTAGTCTAAATTCTGGTTAAAGTTTTTTGATGCATTTAGTTTTGAAATGCAATGTCTAACTAGTGTTGATTAAACTTTAAGAGACTGATTCAGTATGATGGTAAATTATAAATTACTCTGTTTCTCAAGAGAATTTAGGAATTTATATAACATGATGTAACTTTATATTTATGCTCTATGGATTCCATACTATTCTGATATAAAGTGAAACATTTTTTTGCATGTTAAATTGATGCCTTTTCTTGTGTGTTTTTGTTTGCCTGAGTTTTCATTGGTTTTCTGTATTTGGATTTTGCTTTTTTTCAGTGCTTTCCAGAAGGCACAGACATGGTTGGGATACTAGATTTTTATTTCCAGGTAATTTTTACTCTTGATTGTATAATTTATTTTTATAAATAGGTGTATTACATTTTATAAAATATGTAAGTATTAGAAACACTGACTCTAGGCCATGAGAAAATAAATTACCCTTGATTTTCAAAAAATATCATGAGAGGCTGCTTAATATCCATATGTTCTAAAAATCTACACATCAGAATGAACAGTGAAGAAATACTTTTAAAAGAGGGGCAGTTCTAGAAACTGGTTTTTCCTACCCTGTTTTCTTAGTTTTTCCATTTTGCCTACGAAAAACTAGTGTTTAGAGAGCTTCTGTCAGCATTTCACAATGTCATTCTTCTGTGCTATCTTTCCATTTTCTTTCACTGTATCTTCTTGATGCTGGTTTAGTTGGCAGTGAGAATAGTTCAGCACATGCCTGCAATGTCATGAAGTATGTGTGTTCCTCTAGTAAAGAGTTTTTCATCCCACACACATAATTTCCTATGGTGCAGTTACCTGTTTAGTACAACCTTTTTGAAAGGTTATATAGTTTTCCCTAATGAAGTTGTAATAGGAATATGTATAGACTACATTTTTAGGTTTCTAGTTTACTTTGTGCTTGTCTTGACTTATGAAGGCTCTTTGATTTTTAACTTTTTAGTGTCCTTATAAGATGTTTAAGAGTGGTTGGTAATGAAGTTTGATGAAAATACAGGTCCTAGATTCACATTTACTCAGTGTGAATGTATTGGGACCCGGTCTATACATAGAAAATTCATTTCAATAGTGACTTGTTTGGGAACTGAGCCCCATTTCATTGACCACCAAGTACAATACTGAATGTAGCATAAGATGTGTGTGATGACTTCCGAAATTGTCACTTGTTTTACTCTTTCCAATAAAACACATATATAATTTGTTTATTATAGTTTAAGTAGTACTACTATGTATTATGTAATTTTGATTCTTTAGTCCAAAAAATAAAGAGACAGCCATAGAGGTGCTCTCTTCTTTGGAGAACTGAATTTAGCTAAGTGAGCATCAAGGTGTCAGGAAATCATTTGTATATTGGCATTTGTCCAGTTAAGTGACTATTACTTTATGACAAGCAAAATTTGATTAATACTAAGCATATATTAGCAAACGATCATGGGAATTTAAATTTGTTTTTGAAAATATTTCCCTACTCAGGAAGTGATAATGGGAATCTCCCTCCTTTCTACTTAAAATGTAGACCAGGCTGGCCTCCAACTTAGAGATCTGTTCAGTGCTGGGATTAAAGGTATGTAAGAACATACCTGGCTAAACCTTAATTTTAGATTTACTAAGTCTTTGCTCTGTAGGCTAGTGTAACCACTTGATTATGCATTTAGGGAAGTCAGTAATTAAAAATAAAATATGAAAAGAGTATTATTTTAGGTTTGTGGGTAAATTTGAGTTTGTGAGATAAATGTTTAATGCTGTTAATGTTATATTTCAGTGCTGAGATCAAACTCAGGACTTTGTTAACGTGGAAGGCGAGTGTGCTGCTGTTCAGTACACCCTCAGCTTTCATTTTTGTTATTTTGATGGCGTTTAAATTCAAAAATTCCATTCTACCTAGGTCCTCCTTTTTTGTTTGCTATATCTGCTGTCCACAATAAATAACAAATGATGATGGGGGCTTTAAAGGGATGTCTTAAATATTTCTTTCTGTTTGTCATTTGTTTCTGTGAAATGATAAGCTTTGTTACAGGTGAAATGTCAAGTTACCATTATCATATGTCCCACCCCCACCTCCTCTATGGGCATACAGTAGTAGTCATCATTTTTCATGCTGACACTATGTCATTTGTTGATGTGTGTTGCTTTATCTTAAAAGATATTATGGCTTATTTCTCACTATTACATTAACAATGATGGATAGAAAAAAAATTAATATTTAAACAAGTTTGAATACTGTATAGAGCAGTAACAAAGCTTAGTGTTTAGGGTGATTTGGCTCTTTTTCACCTAATGCAGTCACCAAAATATTATAAATTTTCAGAAATCTGAATAAATCTTAAAATGTCTAGAACTTTTTATCATTTGAAATCTTAGAAATGTCATCAAGTTTAGAGTGAGATCATTCCTTTCAAAGCTGTATTTCAGATTTGTGGGCGATATCAGATAAAATAGATTGTCATAGAAGGTAGGTGAGATAAAATACCATAAACCTAAGTTTTATAACTCAGTTTTTTTCCCTTCTTCTTATTTTTAGCTATGCTCCATTGAAGTGACATGTGAATCAGCCAGTGTGATGGCTGCAACATTGGCTAATGGCGGTTTCTGCCCAATTACTGGTGAAAGAGTACTTAGTCCTGAGGCAGTTCGAAATACCCTGAGTTTGATGCATTCCTGTGGCATGTATGATTTCTCAGGGCAGTTTGCCTTCCATGTAAGTAATTGCTGATTAATTTTCTCTTGCAAGGAACTAGTCTAGACTGGCACTTTTAAAAATGCAGTTTGAACTTTGCTTCTAAAGCTGTGTACTGTTTTTGGAGAGAGACTTGTTTGCAAGGTTAATTGGTTACAAATGAATAAGGAGTAGAGTTAAATAGTATGCAAGAAGTCCTTAAAAATACAGTCACTTTTAATGTATAAAGGTTTGTCACTCTTTTTCTGAAAGCATTTCGTGGTACAAGATTAGTCCTGACTTGCTGTGGTTTTCATTGTGATGCTTGGCATTATGGTGGATCGTATCTCAAGAAGCCCTTAAACTCAGAAAATGCACACATGAGTTTTTGCTTAAGAGTATATAATACTAAGACTTAGGATTTGGCAATTGTAAAATATGTAGGCATTTGTTACTTGATCTTATTTATGTTGTTACGTCATAATGCCCTTTTAACAACTGTTTTTATAAGCTTTCTGTTTTGTTTTTAGGAAATAGTCTTCGTGTGTGTGTGTGTGTGTGTGTGTGTGTGTGTGTGTGTGTGTGTGTGTGTGTGTGTGTCCTTCATTCCAGGGATTGAACTTGGGCCATTGTGTGTGTGTGTGTGTGTCCTTCGTTCCAGGGATTGAACTTGGGCCATTGTATTTAGTCCAGGTCCTTTACCATACTGAACCATTTTGCTGACTCTGCAGTTTTCAAATGTTCAGCAGAGAAATGGATTTCATGTTATTCATCATTTACCTTTGATAATTATGAATACATGGCCAATATTGTTTTATCTGTGTGCCTACTTGCTTTTATGTTATATTCCAGTATGTAATTATAAACACATAGCCCAGCATTATAGTACTATAAAAACTTAACTATTGTGGCTGAGAGGCAGAGGCAGGCAGATCTCTGAGTTTGAGGCCACCCCAGTCTACACAGTGAATTCCAGAATAGTCTCCAAAGTTACAGAGAAATCATGTCTCAAAACACCAAAAAAAAAAAAAAAAGAGAGAGAGAGACACTTAACTATTGCATATAAAACTGTTAATGTCATTATTTATCATTAGCGCTAAATTTAATATAAGAATATTTAATCGTTGAGATTACTTATAAAGTACTATAAATTACGGTTATATGTTTCTACATTTTGTTTGACCTGGAAAGTAAATAAGGTCATAATTGTTATTTTTTTCTTTCACAGTTTCTTTTTAATTAGTTATTTTTCCTGAAAACATCAAATAATTTATTCCTGTATATTTTCTGAGACTAGATTTTCCTCTGTGTTTGTTCTGTTTCCTCGTGTATTTCTTATAAGTTGGCACATCTGATCTGATGGTGTTTTGCTTTTTTTTGTTTAGTTTTTGCAAGATTACTGCAGTGGGGTATATTTCTGTCAAGCACTTGATAGCTGAATCTTAGTAATCTACTGGTAGAACAAATTTTGCACTTTATCGTAATTATGCCACCATTATAAAATGATACCATATGATATAAATTTAAGATTTTGAAGGAGATTAATTTGTATTAACATTTGTCTATTTCTCTGGCAGTATACTACTGAAAATCTTAAGATGCAATCCTTTATGAAATATTTTTTTAAAAAAGACTATTACATTTAGAGTCATTAGGAAATACAGCTCTGTAAAATAACATTCATAGTCCCACAGTTCAGTTTTAAGTACTTTAAATTACAAAATGTCTGAATTCCTTTCTAATATTCCAAGCTCCTTTTGACCTCACTTACTGTATTATAAATATATCAATACCTATCTATACAGTACTTTTAATGCAGAAATTCATTTATTTCGGCGTACACTTAAAAATATTTTTTACATTTCTTTATTTATTGGGGAAGGTGAATGGTTGGGAATTACTTTCTTATTTATTGGAAGTGGGAGGTTGGAAGTGTCATTGTACCCTGTGGAGGTCCAAGGAAAGGTTGGTACAGTCAGTCCTTTTTTCCTTCCATGTACAACTCAGGTATTGAGCTCAGGTTGCCAAGGTTTTACATGTGCCATAATTGTGAAATAGTTTTCAAATGTGACTTTTTTATTTACTAAAATGTTTATATGAATGTATGTACCTTTTATTAAATTATTTTTAGGTTGGTCTTCCTGCAAAATCTGGAGTTGCTGGAGGGATTCTTTTAGTTGTCCCCAATGTCATGGGCATGATGTGCTGGTCTCCTCCTCTTGACAAGATGGGCAACAGTGTTAAAGGAATTCACTTCTGTCATGTAAGCAGATTTTCTTAGTGATGGGGGCCCATGCAAGCTGATTTCTTCTTTTACCTGTTTTGTGTAGGAGCTTTTAATCCCCTTGGACTTTTCCCATTTGTGTCATTGGAGGTGGTTGTAGAGAACCTTCAAATTACCCCTAAAAATGGGTCCCATTAGTTTCCTTTCAGAAAACTACTTATTTGATGTTCATTTTAAAAAGTTTATTGTATGTGTTTGGGTCTTTCGGTGGCATGTATATGTTCTGTAACTGGTGACCTTTGAGGCTAGAAGAAAGTGTCATATCCCTAGAACTGGAGTTACAGATAGTTGTGAGCTGCCATGTGCGTGCTGGGAATCAAACCTGGGTTCTTTGGAAGAGCAGCCAATGTTCTTAACTGCTGATGTTTTACTTTCCCAGATTATAATTTATTTTCAGTTTTTAAGAACTTTAGCAACAGAGAATTAAAATTCAAATCTCTTTTTAACAATTGCATTGCTAAAGCAAGTTTTAAAAACTGTGTGCTTTTATGTTTACTGGTTTATTACCACCTAATTTTTGGTAATATTTCAGCTTTTGTGTGCTGCACAGTTGAAATTCTGATTACTGTTCAAACTTAAATATTTTACCATCTAGAGAATGGCACTGTATTTTGGATAAGTGATTTTTCTCATAGTATTTTTATAGTTATTTTACATAACTTGCCTTCATGTGACCTGTTAAAAGTTCTATGTTGTAGAAAATGACAGTATAAGTAACTGAGCCTTGATGTTCAGGTCTTTCCCTGGTGCTGTCCCTCTTCCTGACTCATTGGGTTGTTTGACTAGCTGTCAGTGTGGTTGCTAGGAGACAGTGAAGCTGCAGAGTATAAGCATAATTTGTTGCAATATGAATAAACATAGCCAGGCTGATTTCTTAAATGTATTCTTTGTAACTCTTTACAGGATCTTGTTTCGCTGTGTAACTTCCATAACTATGATAATTTGAGACACTTTGCAAAAAAACTTGATCCTCGGAGAGAAGGTGGTGATCAAAGGGTAAGCCAGTCCTTCCTTATATTCTTTTCCATTGTTCTCTAAGATAGAGGAAGTAGACTCACTTGTTTAAATAAAATTTCAGTTTGTTAATAGTCTCATGTCTTTGCCAATTTCAAATAAGGTTCTGACATTTTTATTTTCAGTCACAAATATATTTTTTGATATTAAAAATCGTTTTGATACTTGGAAATGGTTAGTTTAGCAGTGATGGTTCCTGCTGCTTTATGTAATTGTTTTATAATTGATTATATTAAAAGAAGAAATTGGAAGATTTTATGTACTATGAATCTAATCTTTAAAGCCTTGTTTTTACTCTTCATATTTGTCAGTAATTGGAATTGATACTTTGTGGATGGATATGTAAATGGAAAGATACATTACAAAAAGGCCACTGAAGACTAAACACTTATTCTAGAACATAATGATATAATGTTGATGTGGCCTCAGTATGTATAAGTATTTCTTTTTTAGATCTAGTGTTAAGATCAGGATTTAATTTTCTTTTTCATTGGACCAAAGGACTTGCTGTTGAATTTCAATAACATCCTTTGTATCCCATATGAAGAATAAAATTACCTAGTACATGTGTACTGAGTACATTTTTGTGCCAGCTTAAATTTGTGTTAGTTCCAGTCAGAATGACCTTTGATAATATTTGAGAACTTTGAAAAGCTGACAGTGTAGGAAATTTCCTACCAGTCAACATGAATAACATGTAATAACATGTCAGATGGTGGTGGGTGAAGATATTAATGGATCTTAATAACTTTCATTGAAAAATACCATTTTATAGCTTGGACCTTTCATCACTCAAGTGCACTAATAAATTGTGTATGTTGCTTGAACAACTAGCATTCCTTTGGACCATTGGACTATGAGAGTCTCCAGCAAGAACTTGCTTTAAAAGACACAGTGTGGAAAAAAGTGTCACCTGAGTCAAGTGAGGACACCTCTACAACTGTAGTGTATAGAATGGAGAGTCTGGGGGAGAGAAGCTAAAGAGATGGGCTCTAGCTGCAAAACTTTCCTTCTTTTAACTTCGGAAACACCCTTAGGCTTTTCCCCCTCCAAACTGAGTATTTATTCGAGTTTTTCATTGTTAAGAACCTTGGGTACTGGAGCCATAAAACTTAAAAAAAAATTTTTTTTTTTTTTGCTTGTAATCTTTGTATAAAGAAATAACATTTGTTCATTTTTAGAAGATCATTTACAAATAAAGCAAATTTGCTTTATTTTTTAAAAGTGAAAAAAAATGCAGTTTTTTAACTTCATTAAAATTTTAACTAGATAGTTAGATAACATCCTTAGTTCTAAAACCTACATATTAAATTGAAAGTATTGTTGGGATTTTTTTTCTTTTCCAGTTGTATATCCTGATGCAATATTGGTAATGACAGTAGAAAGTACTTCCATACTAAATACAAAACTAAAAAGGCAAAGGAATCCAAATTATAAAAAGAGCAGTAGATTATAAAATTAGCTTTGGTTTATACATATGCCACTTACAGTGCTAGATTGGCTCTGAGTATTTAAAATGCAGTTAAAATTTATGAAATACTTTAAAATGTGGCTTTGTTTTGTTTTGTTTTGCAAGTCCTCTGTTTTGTCAGAATCACATGTATTAGGAGTGTTTCACATTCACTGAAACAGTCCAGCCAAAGAACTGCAGATGTGTGAGAATGGTGTGTTCTGTTGTTAAAGCTATAATGGTTAGTTGCTCAGAAAAGGAGACAGTGAATATCTTCAAAATGGATTGTATTTTCATATTATTCATGTAATTTTTTTTTTGTTGTACTTAAGTATGAATGGTAAATTTTTTTAGCGTTTAGTAATTTTATTATGTTTCATAAGTACTAATGAATATTTCTTTTGTGATAAATTATGACATCTAATGAATTTTGTTCTTTTCAAACTTTCATTAGAGTACTTATGGAATTTAGTCTGAAGGTATTAAGTATATGCAACTAAAGTATTTGTTAAATCTGAATGCTTCTGTTTGTTTGAAAAATGCAATATTGAGAATCAAAACTTGTTTTCAAGAGAACCATATTCCATTTAATTCAATTGAGAGCAATTACACGTATTTTTAAAATATGCCTTGGCAAAGTGATATTAAAGTTCTATAGAATTCATTTACATTCTTTCTTCATCCATGTATCTTGCTTCTCACAATTTCAAGTTTATTTTGAAATTCATTTTTAAACTTTAAATTTTAGGCAAGTGGTTGAGAATAAAAGCAGTATATCTTTTTAGAATTATGGTATATGCACAGTAGGGTAGGTTCTGTCAAAGTAAATACAGCACAGAAAAAAAATACTTAACTGATACAGATACTAAATAAGCACAGAAAAGTCCTGATTATCTGTTTTGAGATTGGACATTATGACAATAAGAAAAGGAGTTTCTTCCCAGAAGTGCTACCTAAAAACCTTGGGCTAATTTAATATTAAATTTCATATTTAAATGATTACATAGTGAGTTTCAGAAAAGGCTTTGGTATTGCTCCAGTGTCCATATGCATTTCCTAACTGGATGCTTCAAAAGTCTTGTCACTGCCCCTCCTGTGAAAATTGAGCATTTCTTTTAGTTGTACTTGGGACCATTTATGATTTAGGTCATTGAATGCCTTAATTGGAAAAAAGATTTTTGTTTTTTTCCCTCCGTTCTCTATACTTAAAATTTGCTGTTTCATTCAGAAGTTGGCTGTACTTTTTATAAAATAACTACTTTACAAAAAGTTCATATTGTGTGGTTATTTGTATAAATTTCAAAATGACTGCCAATTTGTGGCACTTGGTATATATAACTCTGGGAATGCTCGAATTCACACTTAAATATGAAGTGGGGTTAAGTCAGCTGCTGTGTTTAAAGAACACTGTCGTGAACACGCATTCAGAAATGTATATTAGCCTAAGAAGGGGTAAGATATTGTCAGTGTCTGCCGACAAAAAAGGAAAGGAAAGCTTTGCCAGTTTGCAGGTGTAGCTCAGTCCTTTCAGTGTTCTCAATCTCTTTTCAAATAAAGGTCTTGGAGAAGTACCCAGTATTGTTGGGTTTAATTTTTCCTGCCATTATTGATTCTTGATATTCAAGCATTTACAAAATAGCATATTTTTCTTTTCTTTTTCCTGTTTTTTGCCATCATTAACATTTCATTTGAAATGCATATTCTTCCTAAAATATTTTGTTTTTAGCATAAATGTTGTGCATTTTATCTTAGTGTTTGGATTAAAACATTTGTGTTGTTGAGCTTTCTTCATTTGCTTTGTATATTTAATAATGTACCTTTATTTTCCAGTATGCCTACTTTTTGTATTGTACAATAAATTTATTTTAAGCTGATTTTATTGTTTTTTTTTATATGTAAAAACACCAGTGACATTTAAAATAACATAAAACACTTGTGGTTTTAACTTAAGAAGAAAATAAATTTTATGAAGATATTGACTATTCTGAAGATTGCCTAGAAAAGTCATTTGGGTTTTTATTTTTAATAAGGTATATTAGGGAGGAATTTTTCTGTTGGTTGTATTTGAAATACTTAAATAAAGACTTGACCACTGCCACTCCCTGACCCACACACAATCACTTAAAAAACAAAAACACTTTTTTTTCTATTTGCAGGCTGTTTTTGCTTCTGAGGAAGAATGTAATTAATTTTATTTGTTTAGAAGGGGGAGAACCATTGCCAAACCAATAGTGTATCATAGTCTTTGCTTAGAATAAAATAGTTCTCAATAGAGTACAATTTATATGGAGTGGACTGATTCATACAGAAGTCTACTTTTACGAGCTTTTATTTACACGATTTGGTTCAAAGTAAAATCCAAATTACATACAGTGTATGCATTCATTGTACATTTTTCTGTTTGGCTAGATCTGCTGTTCACATTTTAGAGGGATTTACTAAATTTTAAGATTTTTGAAAAGGAAAGTCTTTGTTTGCATTAATTAACATTTGTGGCATTAAAAATTTCTTTCAGTACTAGTTAATAAGTTTCAGTATGGCTCATGTGATATGTTTATTTAAGTTTAAGATACATTTTTTAACCCATTGAAAGCAAAATGAAAGGAGAAAATCTGGACAGTGTAGTTTAATAAATGGATTTGTAGAACGAACTGTTGACATAACACTGAGTGTGTGAGTGTGCATCTCATAGGTTTACCTATTTAAATTTATCAGTTCTGAGAATGACCAGCTGTTCTTTCCATGTAGTCTTTTAGATATGACTTATTGAATCACTGAATTCCTGTTCCAGGGTTTGCCATAAAGAACTAAATTTTTTTTGCTAGTCCAAAATTAAGAAAATCCGTCACTATTCATGTTGACTTTAAAGATTTGTAATTTGTCTTGTTGCTGTTCCTATTCCCTGTCAGTGCTGTCTGAAAAGAGAATAGGTAGTTGGAGAGTCCAGGGCAAGGAAAAGCAAGAATGTCAGTTTGAATGGTTCACTTTATAGATTGTCTTTGTTCAGTTCTACAAATTTTAGTTAGGAGAATCTGCTTTATTATTCTGTTTTTTAATAATTTATTTTGTGTGCATTTGTGTTTTGTCTGCATGTGTGTCTATGTGAAGGTATTGGATGTTGGAGTTATGGACAGTTGTGAGCTGCCATGGAGTGCTGGGAATTGAACTCAGATCCACTGGGAAAGCAGTCAGTGCTCTTAATTGCTGAGCCATCTCTCCAGCCCATATTACTAATTTAAGAGTCTTGATTTATCTCCTAAATGGACTTAACTTGAAGAAGGAAATTTCTTTAAATTTGAAATAAGCTTGTTTTACAGTCAATCCCAGTTCCCACACTCTCCCATCCTCCCCTGTTCCCTCCACCAACCCCTGTCCCATCCACTTTCTGCTCCCCAGGGAGGGTGAGGCCTTCCATTGGGAGCCTTCAAAGTCTCTTATATCATTTGGAGCAGGGCCCAGACCCCCGAAGAATGAAATTTTAAAAAGTTTTACTTACATGTGATTTTGTTGCCATCTCAGGTCTCTACCACCT